ACCTCTTCTATGTCGTCAGATCACTGTCCTTTCATGTCCCTCTCCATTCGAGGAAATAAAGAGAAGTTGCACTGAACAAGGTCAGGTGAGTAAGGTGCGTGGGGTAAGAGAGGCATACAGCTTTTTGCCCAAAACTGGCACATTGAGCTGGCTGCGCGAGCAGGGGCATTGTCATGGTGGCAAAACCAGTTCCCCATCTGCCACGAATGGGGCCTTTTTTTTTTTTTTTAATCATTTTATTGGGGGCTCATACAATTCTCATCACAATCCATCCATCCATTGTGTCAAGCACATTTGTACCTTTGTTGCCTTAAGGGAAACAATGACAATAGTGAGGTGCACACCTTAGGAGAATCCACCTATGGAGAGCAGAGGAGCAGCATTTGCTCAAGGCCGGATTTCAGAAGCTTCGGAGAGGTGGGATGGAAACAGGAACCGCAGAAAGGAAGCAGGCTAAGCGACGTTAGCCTGAGGGGATTGCAACACCATGAGATGAAACAGAATGTGTATAGGAGTTGTTGAATGTAATCCTGACTGACATCTCCTCTGCTAACTTTCACCCAATTCATTTTAAGAAGTTGCCAAAAAAGGTTGTGAAACCAGTCCATCTTCCTTTCATTTCACTTCATGGCACTTTTTAAAAGGCCTCTGGATACAGGTAAATAAGAACTGCTCACTTACCCTTTGCTCATTTAGAGACAGGCACCAGAAGGCCAGCATTGCCACCACAAAAAGCCGGAGTCCACACTGAGATTTGAGATTGCTGCCGTTCCTCCACAGAGATTTGAAACATCTCTCACTGCGTACCTTGATGACCCTTGGCTTTGCCCCCAAATAGGACTGGAGTCAGCAGGTTTCACTGAGATAACCCTATTCCCTGGGTCAATTGGCCCAGGAATGGTTTAGGGAGGGTTTTCTCTCACACGTCTCCCAACATTCAGAATTGACCAAACCAGAGTCAGACAGAATAGAATTTGAAGAGAAGGGCCCCCACTGTGTGCAATCACAGATTCGGCTCCCAATCCTTCCAGCACAATATTGCAGTACAACTTTTGAATCACCCCTTTAAGTTTCCAGGATTTTAAATCTTTACCGGAATAAACAGCCTTATCTTTCTCCCTTGGATCGACTAGTGAGTTCGAGCCACCGGCCTTGCTGTTAGTAGCTCAATTTATAGTCTGCTGAGCCCCTAGTAGGCACTTGGTCTACCCCAGCCCCTAGCTTGGCTTCTGTTTTTCCTTTGAAAAGCAGTGTCTCATCCCATAAACCCTTTTCTTGGGATCTTTTTAGATACAGCTATCAAGTTAATCCCCACCACCCCCACCCACGATGATAGGCTTTTGTAATATTCAGTTTGGGTCCGTGTCCTTGGAGGAGCCTTGGTGCTGTCGGGTAGCCAGGATAGGGTTGGGGGGTGGTCCCTCCATGCCTGCGAAGGCCCCCACAGAGGAGGTTGGGAAGGAATAAGGCGGGCATTAGCCACCCATGAAGACCCCGGAACTGGACATGCTCCAATTCAGACCCCAAGCCAGATGGGCGGTACACCTGGGCAGCCCAAACTAGGCCCAGGTTCATCAACCCACCCAGGTGGGCTTAATTCAGTCAATGGGTCAACCAATACCTTCGACCACGCCTCCCCAACCAGAGGTTTGAAATGCCTGGCAGTGGGAAGGCCATCCTCTTTTTACCCCTCGCCAGGTCAGTAGCGGGTAGAGGGCACTCCACTCTCTTTACCCTGCCCAGAGCCTGCCCATGCTGTGTAGCGCTCTCTCTGGCCTCAGTCCCACACATGTGGTGCGCGGGCAGTTCCACGAGGCTGCTTGTGTCAGGCTGTGAACCTCAGCCAGCTTCTGCGCGGCTTGGCACGCTTCCCTGAAATAGCATGTACTCTTTGGGGACTGTACAATCTGACACTTGTTCTGGACTTCATAAAAAACCACGTGGCTGGGCTTCGGCATGAATTCTTTCTCGTGCAAAGAGAAAGAACAGAGGTATTACCCACGTGAGAAACCGCACTGTGCCATAGTGGGTTATGTTCTGGGCTGCTAACTGTAAGATCAGCAGTTCAAATCCACTAGCCCCTTGAAGGGAGAGCAGAGGCTTCACCGCCTCAGAAACCCAAGAAGCAATTCTACTCTGTTCCAATTCTACTATGAATTGGAATTGACTAGGTGGCAATGGATTGGGGGTGGGTCTGTGGTCCCCAAAAGCATTTTGGAAAATATATATCCTTTTTTTAAAAATAATTGGAAATATATCATTTCTGGCATATTGTGTTATATGTGCTTTAAAATGACTGTCAAGTCCTGGTGATTGGCTCACAGGGTTATTGGAAGTGACCACTATATAACCTACCTGGTCAGTCTCCTTATCAGAAGAGGGCTGAACCTCATGTACACATTTCCATCATAACCCAGATGCGAATTCAGCACAATTCTGCCAAACTGACAAATTAATGTGCTTGTTGCTTATTTTGTATGAGTTTCTAAATGCAGACCACTCTTTCCTACCTATCAGTCCCAATAATTTTAAAACTCTGAAATAACAGTAAAGACAGGGAAGTCAGAAGCTGTGTCCCTCAAGATAGTCTGACACTCACCCTACAGTTGGAAGATTCTGCTTGACAGAATTCCAGATGATATATGCTATAATGTATCTACCTGTAAATATTGCTTTCTGCAGCAATTCAAAATATTTGGCTCCAAATCGGAGCCTGTCTATTACCATTTTAATTTATCAACCTACGACAAACTTTGTCCCAGGGTTTAAATCAGAACTGTACCAGATTATCTAAAACAGCAAGTTGCGTTATGGCTACACTTATCTAGATTACTACTTGTGAACAGAAATGCTACCAGGACTAGTATGGTACCAGCACTAATTGGTGATAACGAGGAAGCTAACTACGAAAGCATAGTCCTGCTCACACACACACATTTCCATGCTTATATTTCTAGAATTGTTAGTCCTATTAAAAAGCGAATAAGCTTTGATCAGTTAAACTACATGCTAACATTGTTTGGGAGCAATATTCATCATTATAAAATTTTCATCCCAAATGATAAGACTTAAATGCGTCTTTCTGGTACTTTCCTGCACACATAACTGTTCACCATCCCCGAAGGAGCTGGAACATCATTATGACTGCTGATGTGAGCCCATGACCTCAAAGGAAGAACAAAGTTGCTTTGCTTCTGTGAAGTACCTAACTCCCAAAACCAAGTGTTTGTCTAAGATAAAGCATTGCTTACCGGGCACATACACAGTTATTTGTACAGCTGTTTTTAAAAGGGCTTCCCCACCCCCTTTCTTTAACACTAAAGAAGGCAGTTTTTGTTACCCAGAAACAAATCGACAGGTTCATTTTAAAATACTAACAAAATGAATCTTAAAATGTCATTAAAGTTAAAAAAATAGCAATTCCTTTAGACAGGGCACACATATGAGTCGATGAAAGACAACAACGAAATTGTGATTTTGTGGGACCAGCATATTAAAGGATTTATAAAATCACAAAACCACATCTAGCGCTGCCCATCTGGTCCATTCCAACCAGTCTTCCCTTTCTCCTGGCAAAGTTTGAAGGCTAACCTCGCAGTCAGCAGCTCAATGCTAACCCACTGGGCCCGCAAAATATCAAAGTAACTCGCCCAGAAGTTGCTCGGGCTTGTGCCTGCAGACTGGGCTAGGAAGCCATGCACGGCAATTGTCTGCCTCTGGGCAAGCTGCCGCTATGAGCAGCCCTTCCCCCAAACCAGGTCGAAATCTGAAGGGCGAAGCAAAGCAGCAGCTGCCTAGGGTCTCCCACCTGCACAGGGAACGGATTAGGTGACAAAGACACGTGCCAGCAACAGCTCTGCCACCTCGGCCGGCTGGGGAATGGGGGTGGGGTCTTGTAAACCATGCCCCAGAGGTAGCCACCCACAGGAACGGCTAGGCTCAATGGGCGAGCCTCGTGGCACCCTTGGAAGTCAGCTACTCCGCACGCCACTGCGGTACACTGTGCATCAGGTGCATACCTGTACACATGGTGACTTCAATAACTTCCAGGAATACAACAATACAGTGCTAATCTACTTGCTCCGTCACGACAAACTACAAGCATCTATCAGCGTGGTGTAATCACAATTCTAATTTGCAGAGCGGGCGCTCCAAATGAGGCGCCCCAGCCCTCTGGGGCTTTAGGAGGAATGGGCACCCGTCCTGAATCTGATCGCCTCCAGCGCTGGTGGGCGCTCCCCCCGCCAGGTGCATTCTCACATCTGGCTAAAGAGCCACTTCAGATAAAGTTTAAGTGATGTGACTGCGGTGACTAGACCCAGAACAGGGCTCCACTGCTCGTGATTCAAAACAAAACAAACCACCACCAAGACCGAGTCAGTCTGACTCCTAGTGGATCGGACAAACTGTTCATGAGTTACCCCAAAAGTTCTCTTGCTTCCTAAGAAAGCCACTGTTGCATTTAACGATATTACAGTAACTAGCAAGAAGGTCACACCCACGGCAGCAAACATAAGAATGGAAATAAAAACGAATCCAGCACAGTTCCTGGTGGACAGGGCGGGGCAGGATTGGAGAAAAGAAACTTTCTGCGGGCAGAACCACGTCGTGAAGAATCACGCAGATGCATTACACAAAGTGGAACCCAGTGTCAAGGTTAGAAGGCGATGGCTGGTATGCTAAGATGCCGCTGCGCCCCTAATAGAAACCTCAGCTCTTGTCCCAAGTCATCCCCGCGCTCCATGCCAAGCCGCGGCAAAGCAGGAGGCGAATTAACCCGGTTTGTTTTCATGCATCATCCCGGGGATGGTCTCGTGTCCACAGCTGCGGGGACCACGCGAACGCCCCGCGCGTGCCGCTCCCAGACCCCGAGGCCAGGCCCCTGACGGCACCGCCAGCGACCCCCTCGGTCGCCGTCCTCCCACCCCACGACCGCGGGTCCCTCGGAGCCCTGGGACAGTGGGAGCATCCCAGGGGTCCGCGGCCTCCGTTGGACTCACCGCGCTGAGTGACGCGACACGCTGGGCGGGGCTCCGCGCTCGGCCCCCATGCAGCCCCCACCTGCCGAGCTCGCGCTCTCCGAGGGTCCCCCCCCCCCAGGGAGGCGCCGCCGCTTAAATACGGCGGGCCCGGAGCATGCGCACAGGGGCGGACACGCCCCTCCCGCCGCGCTTCCCCGGCACCGGCGCACGCGGCCGCGGGCTCGCTCTGCGCACGCTCTCCGCCGGCGTGAAGGCGCGTTCCTTCCTCCCCTGCATCCCGGGAAACTGGGGACCTACAGAAGCCGCTACTGACGGACTGCGCTCGGAGGCCCGGCTGACGTGTGGCGGGCGAGGGGCAGCAGGCCCGCGGCGGGAAGAGGATGCGGACGGGGCGCCGCCGAGGCCACGCGGACCCGGGAGAGGCCGAGGGCCCGCGGCCGCGGACTCGCCTCGCCGGGACGCCACTCCCGGCCTCAGCGCTGTAGCCCGGCGACCGCAGGGCGGTTCCTCAAGCCCTCGGCGCCTGGCTCCTCGTCTCTAAAATGGCCTCGGCGAAAGCACGGCCTCGTGGGCTCCTTACGAGATTCCGAGGAGAGATGCGCTGGGACTTGTTTACCGCCGAGCTGGCGGCTGACCTGGGATGCATGATGGATGGTCGGGAAGTCGAACGTTGGGAGAGAAGCTGGGCAGGCGAGAGCAAGCCTAGACTGACATGTGTATGTAGGAAACAGGGAGACATGACAGTGCATGGAGGCACTGAAGCTCTGAGGCAATGAAGCTCCGGGCAGGGTCTAATTATAGGCAGCAGCATGTCACTTGGGTTCTTTTGTCTAACCATCACAAAAGCCATGGAAACCAGCCCATTGCAGGCTTTTCTAGTCGAGTCAGATGCATAACGACTGTGTGAGGCTGTAAACAGGACCGGGCAGTCTTGTCCATCTACAAAGGTGGGCCTGAAGCCCGACCTTGGGGGTAGCAGTCCAGTGCTTACCCCCAGACCCATCAGGACTCACTGAGTACTAATATGTTTTATTAATAACCACTCAAGTCATTAAGCCACTTTCCAGAGGCCACAGAGTCAGTAAGTGGCTACCATTTGAAGTCAGACTCAATGGAGGCTGATTCTGTCACAGAACCACTTACACTCCTGGGGCCCAGACACCAAAGTGGAAGCAAGAGTGATCAAGTCATCGTGGAATGTCTCAGATGTTCAGGAGGAACACTAAGGAAGTATCAGTCAAGGACCCTGCCTTCAAAGAGTGTGACCACATTTGAGGAAACTGAGTTAGGAATAAACCATCAACAATTGTTGAGTACTCTAAACGGATCCAGGCCTGTTCAACCATAGTCTACACACTCAGTTCTCCACCCAAGCTTGAGGAGTAAGCTTCAAAGTTTCTGGTTTGCAAACAAAGAATCTAAGATTAAGGAAAAAAGGAGATGGGGGTTCAGGTCCTTCCTAAGCAGACCCATGTGTTTCCTCTCACTGACTCAGCCTGTTTTCACAAAGGATGTTTTCAGTGGGTATAGCACCCATGGCCAAGCATTGCTTAGGAGCAATAATGTTTTTTTTTTACCTTTGATAGCTGTCGATAAGGGGGGAGACAATCCCAGCAGTGTGTTAGGTGGTGCCAGCATTTAAGCTAGATGGTAGGAGAGTTTGGTTAGGGAGACAGCATAGGAGATTCTTGTTTAGTGATGTTTGAAGGACTTGGACCAAGGAATGCCGCTGGAAAAGCAGAATAAAGTGATTTCCAGGTAACTTCTTCAAGAAAGTTTATACAGGAGCATAGTGTAATTGGTTGAGAATATGATGCTAGCAACCAGGTCGCCCAGTGTTCAACAAGGAAAGCAACTGATTCATAAGGTTACTGTGGGGGGAAAAGTGGGCTTTTAGAAAGCACTTGTTAAACCTGCTAAGCGTTTGTTTAAAGCATGTAAGTAAAAAGTATATAATGGAGGAGCATTTTCTGTGGATCTAGTTGTGATAGTTACATAATCTCCTGTCAACTTGAGTGAAGAGGTAGAGTCTAGTCTGTCGATCAGGTCATAACCCATGAGGCCTCTGTGTGGGCATGGCCTTCTCCTGAAGATTCTGGGAACTCCTGTCTTCCTCCCTAGAGGCAGGACATACAGTCTCTCTGCTTGACATTCCTGTTGACAAGCCACATGGAGACACACTGAGGGAGCCAGAACCCTGGAGGCTTGAGAAGCCAGGTGGAGACCCATGCCATTGCTGTGATGCTTATAACACCACTGGATCCACAAGGCTTCCCACCCACTGGCCTGTGATCTTGTGCATTTTGCATCATTGCATGGGTACGTGAGTTTAAAAAGGAATTTATGAACTAGTATCAGACATATGGGCTAATCTCGGACTTATGGACTTGATCTGGGATATTAATATACAATTGCACTTTGATATAAAGTTCTCTCTTACACACATATGAGACTTCCTGGATTTGTTTCTCTAGTCTACCCAGACCAACACTCTAGTAAAGTACCCGGGAGAGGCCCTAACACTGTGTTTGAAGGATCATATTTATTTTTGTAGTTCTAATTTTGTATTCTTTTTCTTAAAAAAGACCCAGTGTAGTAGGCAGAACGATGCCTCCTCAAAGATGTCCATGTCGTTCTCAGGGAACACCAACGTCAATTGACAAAACAGTCCACAAGGATGTTCTATGTCCGACTTTTGTGGATTAGCAACTGGAGTTTTAAAAGCTCCTGACCAGCCATCCAAGATGCAATTACTTGTCTTTACCTGTCCAGAGGAAAGAGTAGAAAACCAAACACATGGAAGCAATCAATTCAATGGGCTAACAGACCACATGAACATGAGTGTCCATAACCCTGAGACCAGAAGACCTGGATGGTGTCTGCCAACTGCTCTGAGAGGTCCTAGACAGTGGGAAAGGAATGTGGAACAAAACGCAAAATCATGAAGGACCAGGATTACTCGTTGAATACAGACTGGTGGGACCCCCAACACAATGACCTTAGTTACCTTTGAGGTCTGAAAAGAAATTCACTTCGAAAGGCTCAATGTTCAGCCAAACAGAAGACAGGTCTATAAGGAGAACACTAACACTAGTGAGGTACACCCACCTTAGAATAACCAACTGTTTGAGAGCAAAAGAGCAACATCTACCCAAGGACGATGTTCAGAAGAGTTAGGAAGAAGGAAAGGAAAAGGAAAAAAAGATGTCCATGTCCCATCCTTGGAATCTGTGATCACCCTTTGGCATACAGCAAAAGGAATTTGAGGTTGTAGGTGGAATTAACTTTGCTAATCCACTGATTTTAAAATTGATTATCCTGGATTATCCAGGTAGGTTCAGTGTAATTACAGGGTTTTTCAAAGTGGAAATGGGGGACAGAAGAGGATTACAGACTGATGTGATGTGAGAAGGAATTGACCTACTGCTGGCTTGAAAAATGAAAGAATGCAGGTAGCCTCTAAACATGGGAAAAATCACGGAAATAGATTTTTCCCGGAGCCTTCAGAAAGGAGTTTCAATGTACACATACTTATATGATAAGTATTAAGATAGCAGATGGACTTTGGGCCTCTACTCAAGGCCTCCCTTAACACAGTAACACTTTGTTCTGATAGCCTGGCATTCTGTGATGCTCACTTTCTCAACACGATCGCTGGAGACAAAATGGGAGTATGATCTAATATGGTGAAGAGAGCAGATGGTGCCCGGCTATCAAAAGATACAGC